GGGATAAAAAAAGCCTCCGGTTCATTGGTCCGACAACTGCGCGCCTTCTTCCATGCTTTCAGCTTAGGGAGAGAAAGAAAAAGAAATGAGTATGAAAATTGCAGCTCCTTCAAGGCCAAAAGGGAGCGCCCTCGCAAAGGCTTATCTTCAGGGGCAACCCAACAATGAAAGGATTTGTCGCTTATATCCTCTTGAAAGTTCGACCCAAAGTTAATAGTGCAGTGGATGCTATCCGTGGCCTTGGCCTTCAGGCAGGTGCCGTGCTCTGCCTTATCTCTAGCTTGAAGACTGTAGTCAAGTGATCCTACCCGGAGACCCAATTGGCCTAAAACAAGCATAGCGTCCACTCTACTGTCAATACCGAGGGAACAGGATAGCTCCATACTTCCTAAGAAACTGCCCAACCCAAAAAGTGACCCCCATGGGGGAATCCAAGCACAAGCTGATCAGGGCGCGTGGCTAGCGTGGCCGTGCATTGGTACACCTAGAGGTTTTAAGGGAGAGGGGGATGCTCATTGTCGGTGTACAAACACACTGGCTGGGCAACGGAGGGTGCGTCTTTCAGGAATAGGGTGCATGAGCGCCTGATGCACCCAACTACACCCTTTTTTCTTAGAGTGCATTTGAACGCGTTATTCGGATAGGCACCCTATCCGCTAGCCCTAAATGGGTATCGTCTAAAAGGTTGGCTACCTAAACCTGTTTAAGACGTCCCGAAACTCGTAAACATATTTATAATATGCAGGAAACACGCAGAAAAAATGTGCTCGCACAGGTACTTGAAAATGGGCAGGAAAACAGACACAAAATATTGTTTTCAATTCTCCTAGAAGTTGATTACAACCTATTCCGTAAACAAGTACAAGTGTGCAAGCGGTCTGTCAAATGTGTAAAGGCACTCTATGCTTTTATACAACTGAGAAGATTGAAAAGCTAACAAGAACCGAGGTGATTCTGGACTATAATGGTAGACTTTCGGCAATATCATTCTCCTGGCTGCCGCAAGAATGCACGTTGCATAATTCTAAAGATAATCTGGAAGAGTACGTGTAGAAGGGGTGGTGCTCGAAAGCCCACGATGTCAAAAGCCTTGTGTCATTAGCCCCGCGGCAAGCGCCCCGTTTGCAAAAGCCCCTGTTTCAGAAGCCCATAACTCAATTCCCCCGTATTAACAGCCCTGTGTCCTCAACATCCCAGGTTGTTCCCGTGTTTTTTTTTTTCCTTGCCCTTGAAGTTTTTAAGCTCTTTTTACCAGTCTTTGTAACGTTGTTCTATATTGGCCTATATAGCGTAAACATAGCTGAATCCCTGGCCGGCACCTTTATGCACTTGGCTTAATACTATATCTAATCACGCTTCAAAATGGCTGTTAGCCTTTCATGAAATTTATTTATTCACAAAGCATATTTACAACATTTGCATAGCAACAGGGTTGGTACGCTTAGATGCCGCAGTAGCGTTGGATCTTCTGAAGAAAACCGTTCAAGTTTTATAGCGCCGTCCCGCAAGTCGTCTTCCAGTTCCTTGATGGCGTCGTCCTTCTCGTTCCACTTCTTTAGTCGCTTACGAGCTTGTCCGCCATTGGACAGCTGCAGTAGGGATACTCGACTCGTGGCCTTATCCTTCTTTAGAAGATCCACGAAGGCGAACAGGATTAGATGAGCTTTTCCAAGCATGTTGTTTATTTTCCCGCAATTATTAAATGATTTCTTTGGTTATACTTATACAGGCAGCAATGGAATTGGTTTTAGAACAAATACTGGGGGCTCACCTGTGCCAGGCCTCTTTCAGGTTGTTTGTACGGACGCCACGGTTCTAATGCTGGTTCCATTACTGAATGTCGAAGTTACCAATCATCCAAACGTCCTCAAAATAAAGAATCAAAAGTGGAATTTGCGCGTCCGTATGCGCCGTTAGTTTCAGGTTGCCCCAAGCTATACTCGCACGAAGTTCGGGGGGACAAAAGCGAGACTGATCATCTTTCCCACGAAGCCGGCCACGAAGGTGTCCAAGCGATAGGCCTTCGAGAGTCCAAGCTCCTGAACTTTCCTCCAGATTGCCTGGGAAAAGTGGAAGTGGCAGCCTCGGTGACGGGCGCCTGGAAAAACAAGGTCGAACAAAACGGAAAGGTTAAGGTCAGTTAGAGCTGTCCTAAAATGTTCGAAGGCCTGTACGTAAACGTCGCGGGATTTGCCGGGTAGCAAAAAATAAGCGACATTGAAGCTACACCGCTCTTTCACGACGCTTATGGTCAACATCTGATAAAACAAAGATGGACACGAGAAGAAGGTTCCATCGACAAAAACCTCGCTCGCCTCAGAAAACTCTGTGAGTGCGTCGCTTGTTCTAAAACAGACGATGCGATAAGCACTGGTTGACACGTCAAAAAGAAGAAACTCTCTTCCATCCAAGGTTTCAGTGTATGTTCCAGCTAAGTTTACGTCAGCTATAGTCTTGGGCAGTGTAGCTTGGTTCTGTCTTTTAGCTCGGTAGATTGTACTGCGCACTCTCAAAGGTCGGAATCTGAGCCAAGACGTCTTCCTCGACCTGATAAAAAACAGAGAAAGAGAGAGAGAGAAAAAAAGATAGGTTCAGAAGTATTACACTTAACTATGAACACTCTTTCGCTGATTCTTAGATCGGCACAACTTGCCTTTCCCACCAAGCTCCTCACATGCTGGGAATACATCTCTGGGGCAGCAGCGTGGGGTTCAGCGATGGCCCTTTCCTTCAAGGTACACTTCAGACGTGCGCTGTTAACGCTCACGTAGTTCGGCGCATGTGTGTGCTGCCCTTCAAATTAAAAGAGGCATAAAATATCATCATGTGCACTGGTTACAATGTCATAATACGCAGCTATTATCGAAAAGCACGCGATGAAGTGAGCAAAAGCTTACCTGGATTCTGAAGCACGCGTCCTTCTTCGGTCAGCACTGTCAATCCGCAATTCATGGCACGATACCTGTCAAAGCGCCAGACAACAGTCCCATTCTTGTTACGATGTTGAAAACAGTACTTGTACCCGTCTAAGTAGAGGGCATCCTTTTCCTTCAGCGTCTTAACCACTTCCATCTTGGCACGTGAGTCCACTGCTGGCCAATGTGGCCTTAAATACCATCAGCCTCGAAAGAACTGCAAACTCCTGCAATTGTCTACTTCGCCATTCCCCCAGGGGTTTTCATGGTCTGTTATCCTAATCTTATTGTTCCTTTCTGTTTCTTTCACTTCATGCACCCTCTGTTGTAGCCTTGGAAGAGTCGAGATCAAGGATCGGAACAACGGCAGTCGTAGCACAGAGGGGAGCGGGGACAGTGAAGACGAGGCTTTCCACACCGAGGGAAAATGAAACGGGGTGACTGTGCACGCAGTGTGCACGGTGTGAAGACGCGCAACAATGACGGACGAAACACCGTCATTGTTCCGACCTGATTCGGGCAGAAAGTTGTGCGAGGATAGTGAAGACACGGCTTTTGGCACGTTTACGCTATGTAGGCAAATATGACTGTGCGCGGGGTGAAAACACAGAACAATGACGGTCGAAGCGCGAAGGGAAATATGGGACGGGGCTTTTGGCACGTGGGGAATATGAAACGGGGCCACTGACCGCGGGGCTTTTGAGACGCGGGGCTAATGACACGGGTTTTTGCGTTCCCGACAAGTAGGTTGCAGTGCAAATACCATGATAATAGCGGACTTGAAAGACGTAATCCAAGATATATGTCGACACGGTCGAAACAGGACAACCACGAAAACACAGAAACGGGAAGGAAGGCTCCTTGAAGTTTTAACACGATGCGGCGCATGAGCTGTCATTTGCCGAACCCAACGGAACAGCAAGAATTTCTGGCTTCCTTCAAGAATCGCTTGTTACTGATATACGCTTAGAACTTTTCGAGCACTGATAGCTTAGGTGCACATCCAATACGTTGTCGAGACATCCAAATAAGACCGCAGGGTAAGGCGACAGATCGAAACAGGTAGGACGAACGAAGTTCGAGCTGCAACGGACAAGAAGCAGACAAAGAAAAAAGCCGCTGTCAGCAGGCGCGCTACCGGATCTCGCAGGCGATGCTTATCAGCGTGTAGCTCGCGCGCGCTGGCGCCCTCCTCTCCCTCGGGTCACGTGACACGTGACGAGAGAGGAGGGAGGGGGCGCGGTCAAGGAGGTCAAGGCGCAGCGCAGGACACAGGGACACCCCCGCGTCCTCTCCTCAGGCCGTCCAGCACAACGTGTTTGCACAGCCCCGAAAAGCAGGCGAATCGTGCACATTTCAGCATGCTCGAACGCAGGAAATGGCGCCGGCCAATCGGGTTGCGCCCGAGCGAAGAAAGCACTCAGCGCGAGCTCGTCGTTTGACTGCTGCAATGGCGGGCGCGCTCTCGAAATGCTCAATGGTCTTGCAGCCACGTGTTCGGGCGCTGCCTTCACTATGTCTTGCATTGAAGTGAAACGGAGTCTAGAAGTACAGTCTTTCTCGCGGTTGCGTCTTCTGCGAGAGAGAGTCGAGCAGAATAAGTAAATTAAGCCAACAGAAATGACGAAGTTTCAAAAAGTTCTGTCAAAAATATTGGCTCGCCAGCAACGCGCGCTAACGTAAAAAAAAAGAAAAAAGTTTGTGTATTGCAGTTGCAGTTAAAGCCAACATCAGCGCAATTAAAATTTAAATATAATTAGTTGCATGGCGCGGACGATTTGAAAGCACTCCCGGCCTTCCGGAAACATAGGCTGCCACGGCTAAAACAGGCGTACCCATGCCGCCGATCTGTACATTCAGCATCGAACGGGCTCCGGAGAGCCGTTTGATGAAACCGGTACAGTTTGACGGTCACCGGTCACCGCATTGTGCAACATGGTCACCGATCTGAGCAAACGTGCGACATCTTTGCCCATACGAGTGGCCCATTTGCTGTGACGAGTGACCTGTTTGCCAAAGGAGTGGCCTGTTTGCTCAAATAGGTGACCGTTATGGCTCATACCGCGGACCCCTAAGCTATCAGTGGGTTTGGCAGTGCGAACTGGGGCATGTCGACTCATCCGTTTCTGATCATTCCGCAGCTTTTGCTGTCGGTCACCGGCTACCAGATCAACGTGCCTGCCCCGGACCCAGCTTATCTCTTCAGTCCTCCGGTCCTACATGCCTGTGCTGACGTGGCAGCGGTTTCCTTTTTGGCTCCGACGTCATCAACCACTGCTCATGCGCCGCCCACAGCGCCGTCGCCTATAAGAGCAGCGACCCAGCCGAATCTCTTCAGTGGGTTTGGCAGTGCGAACTGGGGCATGTCGACTCATCCGTTTCTGATCATTCCGCAGGTTAGTAGACCTCATGTAAGGTGTTTCAGAAGCAATGACGTGTGTATTATCGTACTGCCAAACCCAGGCACCCTGTATTCTATTTTTGTCGAGTGCTGTAGAAATGTTAGTACGTTGCTTATGTTGGCAGGAGATGTGGAATCCAATCCAGGACCAGATGAAGTTCCTACTAGGGTATTACTGGAGCAACTGCTCGCAACTCAAAAAGAAATATCCCAAAACATTGCCGACATAAAGAGTGAGCAGCAGTCTACTAAGTCTTGGTGTGCTAGTGTGAATAGTCGCCTTGGTCTTATAGAGACATCTATTGACGAACTTAGGTCAACCACAAAAAGGGTTGAAGGCTGCGAGTATGGGTTAGCGGATGTTGCTAGCACGATCGGGGATCTTAAGCGAAAGATCGACGACCTTGAAAACAGGAGCAGACGAAACAACCTAATCATTCATGGAATTAAATGTGATGTCAATGAAACGGCAGATCAGCTTAAAGAAAAAGTTTGCACGAATATATTTTCTACCAAGCTTCAGGTTGACGTTTCTACTGTCGAGAGGATCCATAGGCTAGGACGCAATCAAGGAACTAGACCAAGACCCGTGATAATGAGCTTCAGAGATTACATCGAGAAAATGAGCATTCTCACTAATGCTAAAAAACTAAAGGGGACGGGCGTTTTCATCAATGAAGACTACTCCTACGAATTGCGTCAAATACGCAAAAAGCTATGGGACAGCTCGCAGGCTGATAGAGATAGGGGTGATAAAGTAACCCTTTCATACAACAAGTTAAAGATAAATAATGTAACGTATCAGTGGGACAACAACTTGCAAAGTCGCGTGCGTCTCAATCGGCCTCCGAGCCCCCAAGCGGTACAACCTGCATCGGATTGACTTCAACCATCGGAAAATTCTACTATAAGGCTTCTGAACATAAACGCTCGCAGTGTTGTTAACAAGGTCGACGCTCTGGAAGCAACTTTGTATGCACACGACCCGGACTTTGTTGCAATCACCGAAACATGGCTGAATGATAGAATAAATGACTCTGAAATTGTACCTCCTGGCTTTGCGATCATTAGGAAGGACAGGCTGACTCGGGGTGGTGGTGTCGCCCTAATCGTTAAGGAGTTTTTGAAATTTGAGCTCCTGGATGACGTTCCAGGCACTGAGTCACTCTGGATCAGGGTCACATCGTACTCTCCAGCACTTATTGTAGGTGTCATATACCGCCCCCCTAACAGTAGTGACGCTGTCCTTACAGCTTTAAGTGACTACGTGTGCACCCTCAAGGAAAAACACAGCCACCTAATAATTGCTGGAGACTTCAATTTGCCTCTGATTGACTGGTCTTGCCTTTTATCTCAAGACACCAATTGTCCTAGTTCTGATATACTTGTTGATATGGCGTTTAGTTGCAACCTACAGCAAGTTGTTACAGAGTTTACACGTGTACAGGAAACTGCATCATCCCTGCTAGACCTTATTTTTGTTTCCGAGCCGATTGCATCCTGCGAATATGACGTCCGTGTACTCAAGGGTATCTCGGACCACCTAATCGTTATCTTTGAGTGTATCTGGCCTAACAAGATAGCCGCAACTGTGCCTCCAAGGGTGCAGCATTATGTTTACAACTTTTCGAAAGCGAGTGACGAATCTGTCCTTGACACTCTTGAACTGGCCTTTGACTCTTTTGAAAATATGTGCTCTACGAACAACTATAGTATTGACGAATTGTGGCTCTTCGTCAAGGACACTATTCATCACTGTCTGCATACCTTTGTGCCGACTCGTAGGGTTGTGTCTGGAAAACGTAACCCGTGGATTGACCGCGAAATCTTGCACTTGACTAGACAAATTAAACGATTAAAAAGAAGTCGGCGCCTGTTGCAGACTTGAATGACAGACTGAAATTCATGATATCAAACGCAAAAGATAAATTTTTCAGCGTTACTTTGCACAACTTCCTCAAGTCATCACCAGCAAAATTTTGGAGATACCTATCGCCGAAGAAACACTCTGTCAGCTCTCTTTCCATATCTGATAGCACCGTCAGTGAACCCGGCGTAATCGCGGAATGCTTTAATGATTACTTCTCGACTGTTTTTACCATTGACAACGGTGATTCCCCCTGTATGACAGATGCCGTCAGCTTTGACCCCCTGCCAGATATTAACATTTCGTACGAAGGCGTCTTATCTTATCTTCTAAACCTTGATACTAAGAAGGGTCCTGGGGTCGACGGCATTCCCAATGCTTTTTTTGTCCGCTATGCTGAGTGGTGTGCAAAGTTTTTACATGAACTTTTTGTAGAATCATTGTCCTCAGGAAAGTTGCCACATGACTGGAAGTCAGCCAAGGTCATTCCCATTCATAAAGATGGACCTCGCCAACTAGTTAGCAATTACAGGCCAATTTCTATTTTATGTTCGTGTTCGAAGCTTATGGAACACATTATCTTTAAACACATCATAAGCCACTTGGAGTTCAACCGGTTTTTTAGTCCTAACCAACATGGCTTCCGTAAAGGTTTGTCCACCACGACCCAGCTTATTGAAACGATTCATGAATTTAGTGCCTCTCTTAACCATACCGGGCAAATTGTTGTAATATTTCTTGATCTATCTAAAGCATTTGACAAGGTGTCTCACATTAAGTTGCTTGTAAAACTGCAGTCCATCTTAAGTAATGATAATATAATTAACTGGTCACGAGGCTACCTAGAATCACGATCCCAGTTTGTTGAAATTAGCGGTTCTCGATCTTCATAAGCTTCGGTAATATCAGGCGTTCCGCAAGGGTCCGTCCTTGGACCTCTCTTATTCCTGATTTTCATTAATGACATTACTCGTAACATCCCTGTGAAATTACGCTTGTTTGCTGATGACGCCATATTGTGCACTGAAGTCCGTGATGTAAATGACCAAGTTCAACTTAATACTTGCCTTTGCAAAATTCAGGCATGGTGCTCGACCTGGCAAATGTCACTAAACCCCATAAAAAGTGTCTACATGCACATCACTCGCAAACGCAACCTTCTAACTTATCAGTACGCATTGCAGAGTCATATCCTTTCAGAAGTCTCGTCCTATAAGTACCTTGGAGTTCTAATTAGTAACGATTTACGTTGGAATGCTCATGTTAACTACATAGTGCGTAAGGCGCTGTCGAAACTGTGGTACTTGCGTCGAAATTTCAAACAAGCTAGTGTGGATATTAAACTGACCGCTTACAAGACATTTATTCGTTCTACTCTCGAATATGCTGCAATCGTATGGGATCCCTACACTGCACAAAATATTTCCTTACTTGAAAGTGTACAGAAAAGAGCACTCCGTTTTATTTTTAACAAATATGGTCGTCTTGACTCAGTCTCAGCCCTTTATGACCTTGCAGGCTTGCCTACATTGCAGCATAGACGTAAGGTGGACAGATTGAAGTTTATGTTCAGTTTAAGTTCCGGTCATGTAAACCTGGATAAAACTTTGTACATAACACCACTTGGGGTTCCTAAATATCCTTCCAGAAATCGAAATATCAGAGCCTTCGCCGAGTTTAGCTGCAGAATAGATGCTTTTAAGTACTCATTTTTTCCGCGAACGGTGAATGAGTGGAACAAGTTACCCGAGGAAATTGTTAATTCTTGCAGCTCGCCAGAATTTGTAAAACGCTTAAACAACTACCTTTAATTTTATTTTTCCGCTGCTCAGTGTGTGTTGTGTTTAGGAGCTGTGATTGTGATATGTAGGCCCTATTCTTTTGTTTCTTTCTTGTGTACCTTGTTGCTCTATTATATGATTGGCGTGGTTGATCTTTGTATTTATGCATTGAGCTGTATCTACATGAGAGCCCATTGTTCATTTTTCTTTTAGGCACTGTCGGCTGTTGGACTGTTGTTTTCTGTATATTTGAAGTGTTTCACTCCTACCATGTCTCCAAATTGGAGTATGTAGTATTTATAAATAAATAAATAAATAATAAATATGAGCGACCGCTTTGAAAAACTGGTGACTGGTATGGCTAAACTTTATTTTCATATAGGCGCGAAATGTTTTCTTTTTTTTCAGTAGGGCTTTGTATCGTGTACGCAGAATAGGTACACAGCTCTGGTGGAAAACACGTTTGATGGTTCGTCACGTCATGGCTCCGTGTCTTTTGCATTCTCGGATAACTAGCTGCGAGTCTGTAGTTACGTATAGTTGATTTTCGTGATGCTCCCTTTACGCCACCTCCAGGTGTCTTAAGTAGTTCTCTATCGCGAAGAGCACTGACTTGGTATCGGCGAGTTTGGGAGAGTAAGGATCGGTTCCTCGTGGTGGGTTGTTGTCGATATTGATGTCCCCAATGGGTTCTCTTAAAATAGGAAATGGCGGGGGCTCTCATGGCAGTTTCTGGGCCGGCAATTTTTATCGCCGCGTCTGTGTACACGACAGTGACTACCGGGTCCACCAGAAACGTTCGGACTTCGAATGCTTAATTTCAAACGTAGTGTTTCCTTTTCTTAGCGTGTTTTTGCGCGTCCATGTTGCGCGGGATCGCTGGGACTGTGCGAGGTTGATGAGACCCCATGGAGGTGCGGGTGGTGCGATGCCCCCTGCGTCATTCTGGCCCTCTGGGTTGAAAAGCTTGGGTATCTTTCTGTCGTGCTCCGTATGATTCAGTCGGGCATTGTGCATGGCAACTTGTTTCCCGAGGTCCACGCTCCGATTGGTGAGCTGTACGCATTGCTTAGTTGCTTTGCCGTTGTCAAACCTTTGCGTTCTAAGTATGGTTCTTCGTGCATCGTTGTATAGCGAGTCAAGTTTTGTCTTGCGTCGGTGCGTGAGTGTATAGAACCAAACACTATACATTAGGGAGTTTTAGTAGACCGTGTTTCCCTCTCCGCTAGCCCTCCGCTACGAAGAAACCGCCACTGCGCCTGCGCGCCGATGGCCTTGGCTGTAGAGTTCCGGGTAGCGGAGAGGCTTAGCGGAGCGGAAAACACGGTCTACTAAAACTCGCTATTATCTTGGGATTGTACGAGCGTCTTTTCAGTTCTCTTATCCGCGTTTGCGCATAAGTTGCAGGCCTTGTTTCCAGGTTCTGGTGGTAGTGTTTAGCCATTAGGCCCTTTCCGAAATTGGTGCTGGCAACAACGTAACGCTAATTCGAAGCTCCTCGAAAGTTAGGCTGGCGACTATGCTTTACTCGATCCGAGACGACCGACGCCATTAACATGTATCGCCTCGCGACCATAAGTGTGCGGCTTCTGATGGTATGTTCTGGAACGGCAGTTTGTTAGCAATTCCGAGCTCTCTGACCAATGAAAGCATGAACGAGTACTACGCCGCTCTTAAACTACCAACCGGAATCGACGGCATAGCTACAAGTTCCTCACCGAGAGCGTCTTGGAGCCCAGCTCGCTCGAAACTTTGACGTTTCTCGGTGGGTAAGTTTGACAATGGGCCTTTTCCGCAAAAATCGAAACGTTTCTTCTGCTTGCCGAGAGATGGCACATCTCTCGGCAAGCAGGAGAAACGTTTCGATGGCCTGCCTTGCTTCCGGTTCTGCCCGCTCCAAGCTATGTTGGATGTCTGAACGCGATCGGTAAAGGCGCTCAGCGCTTGTTTTTCTGTTTTTCCTATATCCAACGGGATCGACGAGCACATTTGTTTTCAATGAATGCGTTGACTGCGGACAACTTCGTCCGTTTGTAAATGTTTCCGAATGAATGGACGACGGACTTGGCCGTGGCATCCGTTGTGACTGACGGCACAGTTGAAGCTCCCTTTGACCAATGAGAAAGTACAAACGGTTAGATTAAGCTAGTGTTCATGTTATATTCAGAACCGGCAGGAAATACAGCAAATATTCGAGACCAAATTAGAGTTAAGCCAAGCATTCTTTTTTTTTTTTAAATTCCGAGCTATTAGAAGTATTCTCATAAATGTGAAGGCTTACTCTAATATCGTCAGAACTTATCGGCATGTCCACGTACCAATATGTCAAATCAAAGGTGTATTTTATTGGTGGATTTCACCTTGCGAAATGGCAAAGCGTAGCTCTGTTCCTGGATAAAA